ATGTGCATAAGTATTTTACTTATTTAGATATTCTAATGGTTTTTATAAAAACAGATGTGTTCTTAATTATGGTTTGACTATTGCACCAAAACAGAATTACTGTGGGAACTGTTTAATTTATGATAGATTGCTCGCCAANCGAACCGAACACTGATTTTGGTAATAAAATTCAATGATTTGCAAGCGTTGCTCGTTAGTAAGTCTATTCATGATGAAATGTCAAAGCATACTGAGCATCTTTCTCTTTGACACCATGTCTGAAATCCCACGTGATCTGTCAAATACTAATGCATGAAAATCCTAACCTCAAAAAAATCACCCGTTACTTACTGCATTCATAGACAGAGGAGTTATATAAAAAAAAAAATCATATCTGAACAATCTAATGGCACAATTTAATGGCTTTAGCTGCAAACATAAAGAAGTGATATCGCAAAAACTTGTATCTGAACAAACAGTGGTATATAGTGAAGATATAGCTTATACAGCACCGATTTTGACGATTTAGACTTAAGTAAACTTTGAATGATTATTTAGAAAATAGCTCACGAAATTTCTCGGTTTTAGCCGTCCAAATTATGAAGTTTTAAAGTAAAACCCCATATCCGAACAATCAGTTGTATGAAGGATATGTGTTATAGTGATCCGATCTTTGTAATTTTTGACTTTTTTGGGCTTTCTGTTGATAATGAGTGAAAGTAATAGTGCGAAATTTTATGTTCTTTGCTCTATAGCTGAACAATCAGATGTATGGGTGCTATATGCTCTTCTTCTTCTTCTTCTTCTACTTCTTCTTCTTCTTTATTGGCGCTGTAACCGCCTAAACGATTTTGGCTGCGTCCCAAACAGCACGCAATTCGTTTCTCTTCTCTGCCAACTGATGCCAAGTCCTTCTCCACCTGGTCTTTCCATCGAAGGTGAGGCCTGCCTCTCTGCCTCTGTTACCAGCATAGCGACCCGCGTTGAATACTTTCAGAGCTGGAGCGTTCCTGTCTATTCGAACGACAAGATCTAGCCAGCGTAGCGGCTGGATTTTAATTCGCAGAATATTTCTCACGAAAACTCCAAGAGCCGCTTCAATGATTTTAGATCCATAGTTTCTTCGGCAAATTTGCTTAGAATACTCTTATGCTATACGTGCATACTGAAAAAAAATTGACCAGCCCTAGTATACAATATATTTGTACTTACAAACATCGAACTAAATTTATAATATCATTTCATGTTCATGAAAGGTATAAAAATAGCAACAAATACATAAATAATCTCAACGTTTTCATTATATGACCAAATAAAGATAAAACAGCAAGTGTGAATGAACAACTGAAATAAATAAATAAAATAAAAATGTCACAACAAAGAAGTGTTCGAAATCAATTTAACGGGTTCATTTTGTGACTACACATACACAGGAAGTGAGTTAAACACGTATAATACAAATATAATAAAAAATAACGAACAAAAACAAAGGCTTAGATAAGTTGTTGAACCCTAACTGCCTATTCCGGTGGACGAATATGTCGCTAAGTTTTTAGCAAAAACCAAAAGCACAAAACAAATGTGTCAATTATTATCAACACACACACATACATACATACATACAATATATACTCATTTAATTCATTGCATTATGGATATGGTTATTGTTTTTCATAAATGGAAAGTGGTTATCAAAACAAAATGCAAACAATGAGATAACGATGACGACGATAGAGCCGGTGTGGATACGAGTAACGCGGGGGCTGCGAATGACGACGATGACGATGATGATGATGATGATGATGACGTCGCATGAGTTATGGTTTTTGCTACGCGCCAATTTATAGCGCCTCGCGAAACGTGACTCACATTTGAAAAGCTTAAGTCGAGCTTAAAAAAAAAAACAAAAAAAAAAAAACACTCAAAACTTTTTTTCCGTAATTATTCATGTGGGCAAATAATGCAAGAATTAAACAAATTTAAAAAATTAATAATTTAATTGAAGTGGCAGGCACACATACGACCTCTGAATATTGTTTCTGTGGCATCTGTGGATGAGTGTGCTGCACTGTGGTGCGTTTGAGCAAGCGCAACGCGAAATGTTTTGAATTGAGTAATGTGCCAAATGGCATTTGAGGTATTTANTTCGCCTCGCTGTCTATTGATTTGCATTAAAGTTTAATACCTTAAGCGCTTCTGTAATAGTGGCTGCATCGCTACTTGCTGCTAAGTTCACAAGATATCGTACCGTAATATTTTTTAACAGACTTCCTTTGTCCTTGGGAATACTTTAGGCTATATTTTTTCTCAGTATTAACATTTTCAAGTAGCAAATTCCAAAATTGTTTGCCACTTTTCGTGCGGTTCCGCCTTTCCGCAGTAAATCTATTATTTACATTTATGGTTCCTGATTAACTATGTTATTTACTGGTGATCACTTCTTCAATAAATTACAATATAGAAAAAAGTCATCTTACTTCCAACTACGTAAGAGATAACTGTCAAATGCAAAACTGAGAGTGAGTGCAAAACTGTAACATCTGCCTTAATTTACATTTTTGTCTACTGATTTTTTTATTGTTGTTGCATTGACTTCAAATTATTATGAGAGAGGGAGTAGGGATGTACCAACAAGAATATACAACAAAAGTATGAAAGTCGTTAGAACTTGGAAAGATAGCGATGGCTGAAATAAAAAGTGTTACACCATGTTACAGTTTTGCCCGTCACTGTACATATGTATGTATGTACATATTTGTATGTAATGAAGTGGTTGCGAATTTTTCATCCAATTGTGGTAACGAATTCAATCGACTTTTTTGTTTAATTTTTACTTCTGCTTGATTTTGTTTATTTATTTATTTATTTAGTTTTTTTCTTTTTTTAGCAGACATCAAAGTCAGCTAAGCTATCCATTATTTCTGCTCTTTGCTAGTTTAGCCGAAGCGTGTTGCCATGATGACGAAACGGCAATCCACAACAACAGAAGTTGCCAACTACTTACGATATGTAACCAAGTTTGAATGGTTAAATGGTTAGATATGTATGTATTAAAGTGTATACTCATATACATACATACGTACATATGTATGTACGTATACATATTTGTTTAAGTGTGTTCATCTATATAGGCACGTATTAGGAATGTTAATGCCGGGATCCCAGGATCCCGCCTTCTTAAGATCCCAAAAATCCCGGGATTCTTGGCAAATAATCCCGCGATTGTCATGATTTGTAATTTGCACTGATGGCAATAATAGAAACTCCTTTTCTTGACCAGTATTGGCTATATTTCTTTTTTTATTTAATAATTAATATTTTTTCATAAATGTCTAGCTCCTTATACATATACCACCGCACGATAGTAAATTTTAAATACGAATATTAATGTACTCGCGAAACCATGGTCCAAATATAGTAAAATTACGTTTTTAATTTTTCACTCTGCCGTCAGTAATTCAAAAATGACTTAAAAAATTCAGAGAAATGTGCTTAGAGAAGAAGTATGCGTATCAAATAAAAGAGGAACTTCTGTAGAATTTAAACAGGTTAAATGTTTTGTGCAGAAGGGCTTGTAAGTATTGAAAATGTCCGTTTAAAATTTAATCCTGGAAATTTCGCTATATTCGCTTATGAAAAAATTATATGTTAAGGACTTACATAAACTCGATTACATTGTCAACTTTATCAGCTTAAAAAATTACCTAATTCGTCCTTGTGAATCCAAAAAATTTAAACTTTTTTTAATTCTAAAGAAATATTTTTATTCTATATTGCATTGAATTTTCCAAATAATTTTATTAAAATTAATCATATCTTTGAAATTACAAAGTCATTTAAAATAAATTCTGATGTCAGAGAGAAAAAATAAAAACGCCACCCTAAATAAAAAAGTAGGTTTCAAACCCATTTATTTATTATTTATTTTTCGGAAGGAGAGCTTCTCAAACAATATAGAAGCAATTTTTTCGATTTAAGTTATTGAAAAGTAATGAATATGTAAATCCCGAGCCTAATCCCGGGATCATGGGGCTGTGATAATACCATCCGGGATCGGAAAAAGCTGAAAAATTAACATCTCTAGTACGTATGTATCACTAGTAGGTGTATAGGCATAAAAGTATTTACAAATACTTAGAATTTCTATGCCTCTATGTACGTCACTTAGTTGGTAAGAAATACTTTACACTTTAGCACTTAGCCTGATTTATTATTTTCAATTCAAAAAAAGTTACTATAGCAATACCGTAAGCCATATGCGATCGAAGAGCTTTTTTCAGAAGCGGCAAGTATTAAGTGGTATTGATGAACTGTGCACTAGAACTGGTGAAAATCTGCAAAATAAATAAGCAATTTTTTGCTAAATATGGCGAAAGAAATATTTTTTCAAGTAAAACATCGTTTTTAAGAGAAAGGCTCCACAAAATGCTAAGAATTAGGATACCAGATTGAGTCCTACAAGGTTAAATCAATTTTTGATTCTATTTGCTTTGGTTCTGCACTTCTCATATACATATATGATTCCAGCAATTTTTTCAATATTAAAAGAAACTTTCTGGTATAATTTTAATACGTTGAGTGAGGTGGCAAATGAAGCTAGGATTTGTCGTACATACATAAGTATGTATGTATATAGTGTAAGTTTACTTTGAAGTTGTTTTTTTATAAGCGTTTATTATGTTTCACCTGCGTGTAACCCGCTTTCCGATAAGCTAGAGACTTGAGACTGTAATCTCAGCTCAGAAACCGATGAAAATGCAATATGAAAAATTAATTAAAATCCATACATAGGTTCCATATGCTTCATATTTAAAATGTTTTTTACTTTCATGAAAAGGAATAGATCCACAAAAAATATTGTCTGGTGGGCGATGCAGGAGTAGAGATATTTGAAAAAATCGTATTTATGGGCCGATTTTTTGTCATATTTAGAACGTATATTTCTTAAATAGAAATAAATAACTCCACAAAAATTTAAAAGTTAGGTGGTTTCTTATTAAATGTAGACTAGCTCCGTGGCTTTACTCATTTTTTTTCAGTAAGATGGGATACACCATAGCCTGTAGTATACCTGCGGGTTTTCCCCAATTGTGCCTTATTGCCGCCAATTCATCCTCGGATTTAGCAGCAAAGCTTTCCTCAAGTAGGACGATGATCGGCAGGCTGAGGATGAATTCAAGAGCAGTTGTTGGTGTGGTTCTTAGCGCTCCCTAGATGCACAATGCCACGAGAGGCTAAAATTTGGCCACAGAACTGCGGCATTCTAATTTGTTTGTTGCATTCTACAATTCCAGCCATAGGTGCTGGTGACAATACATCCTTTGCGGTGAGCCTCTGCATATTTGGCTACCATGACTTCATTTAATTCTGCTCTTATCTAAATACATATGTGCATACATACAGCGGGTTCTAAACCTGCTGTTTGGATACCATTTAAAATAGTTACATAAGCATCTTTCGAGACATTGTTCCGCGCAGGGTTAAAAGGCATCGTGTAAATTGGCCCTTACTCACGTATTTTCTATGAATTTACAGCTGTAGTTGTAATTAATAAGTACATATGTACTTCATACGACATGGTGTACGCCAGCCTGTCAACTTGGTTCAAACCGTGCAGTTTTTGGCCATATTCAACTTCACACGGCACCTGATTTTTCAATTTGGCACAAAGTGCACAATGACACTTTTGAAAGTTAGCCATATTCAAATACAATTTTTGGGAAATCCATACATTTCTGAAGTTTATGCAACTGATGTCTTATTTTGGTATTACACTTTTGTTTTTAGGAATGTAGTTCACATTTTATTGCCAAATGGTCTACATTCGATTAAAAAGAATAACATCTTATTTGGCACTTTTAGTTACTATTTTGGCATTTTTTTTTATCCTAAATACGGCACCTCATAGTAAGGATAGTTGGCAGCCCTGTGTGAACGAAAGTACCACTCACTCTTCGTGAGAATGATTTATTTATTGCATACAGAAATTTAGTTAACTATAAAGAGTAAGAACGTATTTTCATTACGTTTGTTCTGCAATATTTGTTGAACATAAACTTCCAAAGTCTTCTGACCCACTGTACGGCTCAGCAACTCAGAGTACGCAGCAATGAAACAAAAGCGTCAAAGTTCTGGCTTAAAACAAGTTAACAACGCAAAGGTTGTTATTATTACAACTGTTATTGTTGTAAATCTGTACATACATACAGTGGTCCACAAAATAATAGGAGTGCGTTATTTTGGTCAGTTTTTGCTATTTTTCTTTTGTTTATTTAATGTTTATTATTTTTATACAAAAGTCAAGCTGGGTATACAACAAACAACGAATAAATTCAGATTTCAACCTTTGTACAAAAATTATTAAAATTCTGTAAATTTTCACCAAAATATCAAACTTTTTAATCAGAATCTTCAGAGAAAATTCTGGTATGCAGTTTTATAGCCCATTCAATTCTAGTCTGAAGAAGTGCAAGTTTCAAG